TCTTATTGCTGGGGTCAGATTGTTGAATGTATTTCCACTGACCATATTGCTGTCCTTGACGAGAAGCTGGAATGTGTTATTTTTAACATTCTGCATCTGAGATTTGGTACAGCCAGGTGTGTTCCCTGTCAAGCAGATGGTCAGAAATGTCCTCTCTGCTCTTCCTGAAATCGCAACTTTTCCCATGTGGCTGTGGCCACAACTCATCGTTATACGTCTCAAAGTAAAGTGACAGTCTGTAACCGTTTCACAAAACATCAATCACACCATGCAGAAGCAATCAATTTAAAGGGGTCCTATTATGCACTTTTACGAAGTCTTAATTTTGTTTTTGGGGTGTACCAGGATATGATTTCACGCTTTATTGTTAAAAAAAAATTTTTTTACAGCACCTCTCTCCCCTATCTGTCTTGAATGAGTTGTTGGTTCATGTTTCAATGAAGCCCCTCCTTGCGAAATCACGAAATGTCCTGTGATTGGCTCCCCGTGTTCGGGAAATGTCACGTACCTTACCATAACCCCGAGTTTCATCTGCTCAGGTGTAAATATTAAGGATATTTAATATTTAAACCAATTCTGAAATTCGGCACAATACCTGTCTCGTATCTCTCACAGAGGAGCGGAGGCAGGGGCTGATTCTTCATTAGGGCGCGATTGGGGGACGCACTACTAAAATGCGAAAGGGACTTTTTCAATCACATTCGCATTCAACCACAGATTACGCTAGCCGTCATATATAGTCTCTATATAATCAATTTTAACCACTCAAGTTTCGTCAGGTCAAACCAAGGAGTTTTGGAAACGGGGTGGACAAAACAGCGTCTCTTTGACATAGCAACAACACTGTCTTCTCTAATGCAGCTCAACCAAGCCTTGCACCTTTTTTTGCATATTCCATGGGCGGAAATTATTTAAATGAGTAACATTGTGACTTCATAAAGCCCACAATAACACGTTGTAGGCCAAACAAGTTGTTTGTTGCGGTTCTTGGAAAGTAGACTCTGTTAAAATAAAATATCTCCCTTTGGAGTGGACTCTGAGCTTTGTAACCTTGCAGATCTTTTTTATGCTCGAACAGCAACATTACACACTAACTAAAGTTGAAAAGTGAAAAAGCATAATAGGAACCCTTTATTAGTGGCCAGAATGCCATTCATCACTGATTTGGGGTGTGTTTTAAAAAAAAATGTTTTTCAAAGGCCCCTGTTATCCAACACAATATTCAAAGCACAGTTTTTAACCAAAATTCAACATAAAAATATCATTTAAAAAAAGCCCTGCTACTGTAGCATTTTTAAATAAAATAAAAGCACTTTAATATTTTCAGTATTTCTAATATTTCTCCTGTAATTATGACAAAACGTTTTGCAGACTTTTTTTATTAACAGAAACTCGGAGTATTGATATATTCAATTAATAAATTGTAATTCCAGAAGTGCCAAGATCGGTGTGTTCTTCAATAAATATGCATATATATGCAGTTATATGCAAATATGCATATGTTAATAAATAATAACATTTAAAATCTGAATTAAATAATGTATTAAGTAGCCTACATGGTTTAAGCACTGTATCCACCATAAACTCCAGCATTATCAGCTAAGCGATTGGTATTTTTGCATCTAATCTGCATAAGTTCTGCATTTCCTAGTATTTTTGATACACTTACTGCTTGTTCCGCACCGTTGTCAATTCAGTTTTGGTATGTCTGTTTTTTGGTTCTCCACACTACAGCATGTGATCAGAGCAACATTTCATTGAGATCATCTCTAGCTCTCTTCAGTTGAGAGATACTCGTAACTTCTCTGTTGAGACTCTGCATGAGCTCAACCGATCACTGCCCTGCAGCCACTGTCAACCTCGTGATATTTTTGGCAACACGTTCATGTTTATCTCCATTATAAATGCATATCTGCACTCTGAACAGCCCTCTTTCTGTCTCTTTCAATCTTGATCTATTTCGTTTGTCACTTCTATTCTCTTGTTGCTCAGTCATTCTCTCTCTCCTTGATCCCTTTCTCTTTATATCTCTCTGTCTTGACATTCTACCGCTGTCACGTGTGGTGCAGAAGAAGAGGAGTCAGCAGTTCCAATACAAACTTTTACTTATAATATAAATCCTAAAGGTACAGACAAGCAGAAGGTTGACACACACTTACTATAACAGACAAAGTAGAACAGACAGAGAGTGACTGAACAGAAAGGAACTAAATACAAACACAGATGAACACTGGTTAACAGAAAACAGGTGAAGCAGATGATGGTGACGAGACAATGACAAACAGCTGTGATGGGTGATCAGGTGATGGCCGATAGTGTGCAGGTGGAAAACATGAGGGATGCTGGGAAGTGTAGTGCCGTAGAGGTGACAGAGCTAGTGACTGTGACAACCGCGTCATGCTTTAAAAACATTATAGACCAATCCTACCTTAGCAGCTGTTGCCTTCCATCAAATGATGAGTCTTTATCTTTATCTAAGCTTTTGCTCTTTCCTAATGAGAGTCTATTAGAGGTCATTTGTGTTTGAAAAGTTTTACACTAAATTTTCCTGAATTGATCAAAAATATTGTAAATGTTCTCATTGGTGAGCACTAGATAGTGATATTTTCTTCCTATACAAATATTTCCATCCGGAATTTTAATTAAAAAATTCCCGTCCCCTTTATTTATTTGAATATTCGTCTAAATAAGACCAAATATTTATGTGCAAAATAAGAATATTATTTTATTTCAGTATTATTTATTTCAATGACATTATGTTGTATATATGACGTTTTTATATGAAAGGTAAAGATTGATTTTAGTTTCATAGTTTTCAAGCTTACAAATGTGCATTTTAATGTTGCTGCTTGCAAAGATAACAAAAACCACACTGATGTTTTTTGATTAATTTTTAGTCAAAATAACTGATTTGGTCCATGATTCAGACTGTGCTTTTCAGGCTGGGTCTGTTTTGGCAGGCAGGAGGGATGTGTCCTCTCTGTAGTGTTATCTTGGCTCAGGTTTCCCTGGCAGAGATCCGTTTCGTTAAACTATATGATTGTGCAATCAAAAGGTGGAACGAGCTCAGTCAATACACATTTGACCCTGGTCCAACTTGTTGGAAGTATTTTCTTCCTTTCTCTTTCTTCTTCCGTTCTTCTTCCTTTCTCCATCGCATTCTTCACATACCCTCCCTGTCTGTATCTCTCTCTTTCTCTAATTGCTCGGTCTCTCTCCCTGTCCATTGATTCTGTATTTCTCTACAGGATGCTATAAATCTGCAGGGGTAGAGCTGGGTGTCTGTAGGAAACATAGGACATGAGCTAAAGCAACTCCAGAGCAGAGTGAATAAGAACAAAATGTCCCCATTGTCCCCCACTTTGTCATTTCGTTCTCCTATCCTTATTGCTTGTTATTATTTTCTCTCCATCTCTTTGCCATCACTTCCTCACCTTTTGAGCCCAATTGAAACTAAACTGTGGGAGTTCTCAGCGTTTCCCGCTCTGCCGCTCTGGCCGAGCATTAAATTCCTACTGTGGAATTTCATTAACACACAAAGCTCACCGTCCATCCGTCTGTCTGTCTGTCTGTCTGTCTCTGTCTATCCATATATATGACTCATTACGTAAGCTGAATTTGTTTGTGTCTTACATGCATCTGGGGATGTAGTCAGACAGGCTATTAAGAAAGTGGCACGGAGCCTAAAAATGCTGCGGCTTATTGGCAGCATACAGTGTAAAGCACAGGAGAGAACACAGCTCTGCTCCCTGACTGTTTTCCTTATGGTGCGACTGTGAATGAAAGCCTGCAGCTGGGATGAGCACAGGCTCTCACTATTGGGAGGTTTTTCTACAGGCGGGTACAGCTTTTCAATGAACACAATTGCTCCTTGGAGACCTAGTGATTTAGAAGTGAATGAATATGCCATTAAGAGGAGTAGTCTGGTCTATCATCGGCTCAGTCTGTTTGATGTTACAGCAGCTCAGGGTTGTCATGACATCATCTTGATGGTCAAAAAACATGCGGTTTCCCACACTTGTCTGTGAAAGGTTGGATTATGAATCAGTCCAGTGCTTGTTTGTATAACTCTTAACTGGCTCTGTTTTTCAGATTATGCTTTCTCATTAAATAATGATGGGATTGGATTTCAATAACTGTTGTAGATTAGATCATTGAAAAAACACCTGGAATTTGACGATAATGAGAGGAGGACTGAGTAATATGGGAAAAGAAAACCAGACATTATTATTATTCATTAAGTTCGCCATTGACAAATATCCAACTAGTTTTAGAAGGCATGTTGTAAATATGTGTAATGTTACCTTGAACAACCGCTTTGGGATTTAATTCCTTGAAGTTTCACCTTGTGGATTGTGAGTTTCCAACATTTCCCTCCTAAAAGCACATAGACTAATAAAAGGCATTGAGATGGCATGCACACAAGCTCCATGCTGTCAGAATGACTGGAGGCCAGCCAGATCAGGAGCGCTAGATCATGAGAGTGTGAGAATGAGATGGCAGAACGGAGCGGGAAGCTACAAATGGAGAAAAAAAAATAGAGCATGCAATGGTGAAGGTGAGGTATAATGACTTTGGCTAAAGGCCAGCAGTCATATTTGGAAATCCGGAGGCACCGAAAAGCTTTTTTTTGGTCCTGTACACTTCCTCTTGTGTGTAATTTGTTATTTTTTATGACACCAGCTGACATCAAAATGAAAGAGTTTGTCTGATACAAATCCCAAGCTCTGTCTGTTTCTTATTGACCTGTTTTAAAATATGATGGTACCAGTATGGTGTTTTGATAATAACACTACCTTTTCTGTGTCGTACTATGAAGAAAATAAATAGAAGGTAAAATCGTTTATAAGAGGCGGATGAGTGTGCTTTGAAGGATCGATAATCATTTGTGGTTTTGTTTGCTGTGCATCTGTGCAAAGTGGCTATAATCACCCTCTTTCTCTTTTTTTTTATATGTATCCCCATCTATCCATCTCATGTTCTTTCCTTAATGGGCTCAGAGAGTCTGTACCGTGTAAGGAGGCAGAAATGTGTCCCTCAGACTAGCATTGACGGAGAGGAAGCTGAGGTAAGATTATCCTTTTTAAATATTCAGTATTCTACTGCTTTCTTTTCTATAATACTGTGCTGTGACTTTTCCGTGTGCCTTGTCCACCAGAAGAAATGTCAAACACATCTGCTGGTGCTGGTGGTTCACGGGGGGAACATACTGGACACGGTGGGCGGAGAGCCAGGTGCAAAGTCTGCAGATGTAAACACTCTGTCCTCAGTGTTGGAGAAAGTATCTCAAGCTCATTTCCAAGCTGCAGCTCAGCATGTCGTCATCAAGTTGGTGCCGTGCCCAGCTATATGCGCAGAGGCCTTCTGCCTTGTGTCCAAGTAAGTAGCTATTACTGAAAGCAATTTAATGACCATGTTTTTTTTGTTGAAAATGTGCCATGGTATTCTTTTAAGTAAATACCATTGTGTATATAGGCTATCATCTAATACCATCACGGTTTCCTTTCAACGGTGCTGTTTTGTAACTGGTCTGACTGGCTTCCTTTTCTGGCATGGAAGGTTTTGATCCGTTGTGCAAATACACTACGAAATGAGATCCCACATACATAGATGTTTTGTTCTGAAGTCATGGGAACACCCTTAGGTGAAACTGGCTGAATGCACAAAACTAATTTTATGGGAAAATGCTGACAGATTCGGTGGCAGTTGTTTTTCTGAACTCGCTGTGTTTATATATATATAATTTATATTTATTTTACTTAATATTTAATAAATTAGAAATAAATCATTTGAAAATTAATTAAATATAAACAGACTTCACATAATTCACATTAATCCCATTTCAGTATTTTTCACAAATAAAGAAATTGTTGAAGAATATGAATAAAAAGAAAGTAAACACTGCCTGCCATTGGCCCCCTGGTGGAGAATGACTATACTGTTCAAACATTTGAAGTTGTTAATATTGGGTGCTTCTCAATATCCCTCCTCGTCTCCTCGCTCCTCCGTCCTCCATCCTATGACCCGGAAACCGATCGAGCTCAGCCATCTTGAAGGACATCTCAATTCTCTAATTGCACCGCGAGGATCGAGGAGTGAGGAGGCTTCCAGAGGAGTTATGAGCGAGGATACACAGGTGTATCCTTTGCGGAAGTGTTTTATCGACCAAACTTGACGCACGTATACATTATCTTCCCCCTTCACATCGGTAAAAATCATTTTAATTTATACTTTACCTTTGCAGTTTATATAAACCACACATCTCACATATTTCAACAGGGTATCTTGCTTTATTATTATTTATTACTAATTTCTTAAATAACCAAACTTCAACAACATAAGGGCAGATCCTTTGAGCGCAGCTGATGACGCTATGAAGTGATGCTCGAGTGATCAAGTATTCCAATGTATAAAAAAACTTTCATTCGATTCCTCCGTCCTCATTTTCTTTCCTTGCAGCCTTCCCTCGCATCCTACAGGGGGCTGAGACGCGAGGAAAGGAAACGAGGATGCACAAATAAGAATTGAGAAGCACCCATTGTTTTTGTCATGATTCCTAAATCTGTGAGAAGCCTGTGTTTCTCTGTTTCCTAAAGGACTTTTATGTTGAAGTGTTTTCTGTCCCCCCCTGGTTCTGTGTTCATTTCCTGTTTGCCTTCTGCCTTGCTTGTTTCCATAGTAACCTTGATTAGGTCTTGATTGTTTCCCAGGTGTGTCTTGTTTGCTCATCACCCTTTGTCTATTTATACCCCAGTGCTTCTCTTGTTCTTTGTCTAACCTTGCCTATACATGGTTGTATTGTGTGTGTGTTTGTTGTACGTTCACGTGCCTATCTTGTTGCTTGTCTAGAGTTATTTCAGTTGACCTGTTTCAATACATTTTTACTGCACTTGGATCCAACGCCTAACAGCAGCCACATTACAGATTTAATGTTTTGAAAAGGAGTATCTTATGCTTACCAATGCTGCATTTACAGTGAAAACGTTAATATAGCAAATTACAATTTAAAATAACTGCTTCAGTCTTCAGTGTCACATGATCCCTCAGAAATCATTCTAAAATGCTGATTTGGTGCTCAAGAAACATTCTTTATTATTATCATTGTTAAAAATAGTAGTGCTGCTTAAAAAGGGGATGTCTAAAGCTATTTCGTGCATTCTGACTTATTTACACTGTTAAAGAGTTGGATTCTCATGCTAAACATGGCCAAAGTTTAAAAAAACAAATAGGACGTACTGTATGACGGAGTATTTCTGTGCCAAATGCACTCCTTCAAGATTCATATAAGTTGCGGAAAGTTTTTTTCGAGTATGGCCCTGTATGACGTCACAAAGGGCGGAATTCCTTGAATGGGCACTTCTCCTGGAAGAGCGTGCGCACACATCAACCAGAGTGAGAGCAAGAGCGAGCCCATCAACGTGCAAGTTCGGGTTACGGAAGCTGTTTGCATTTCGCCTTTGGCTAAGCCACACCCTAGAATGTAGATTGACCAATCACAGCGCAGCGCAAGAACGAGCTCCCACAGAGGTCCGACACTTTTTCACAGCGCTCCATTGACTTTAACACAGGCGTTTTTGTTATTTTTATTGTTATTTTTGGTCTCGACAGGTTATTACCGTCGTAATTTTATGAAAAATATGGTTAAATGTTGTGCCTGGGGCATTTGTAACACAGATACGCGTTTCCCAGAGAGGTTGGAGGGGGGTGTCCGTTTTTTTCCCTTCCCAAACCGAAGTCAAATCCTGACAAGTGTAGCTCACGCTGCCAATAAATAAGTTACAACGTTATACTCGCGTAGTCCGTTTGCTTTGTAATAACGATTATAGAAGTGAATAGAGACTCACCCAGCTTGCATGAACAGTGTTGCTCCTTGATATTGTTAGTCCCAGCCGCCGTCTCGATTAGTAGGATATGCGGTGGTTCATTTTTTGACGTGAATATAGCCTTCGAACGTATATTGCAGCCCTTTTGCCTACTTCTATCGGACGCTTTATTTGCTGCTTTATAAAAGTTTGATAAAATTTTAGCAGGAAGAGCTGTCACAGCATAAGCCATGTTGATTCCAGAGCCCAGATGAAGTTTTTTTGTCGGACGTAGCAACAGTAACTAAGGGGGGCGGGGCTTAGCCAAAGGCGAATTCTGCACGGCACGTCTCCAGGAGCCTCGGCTGTTTTCAGAAAGACTCTGTACAGCGTATCTGTCTTTTATAAATCTGATAAAACTAAAGACTCTTCGGAGATATGAAGGATACAATACTACTCTATAGGTACTCAAGATTAAAGGACAAGTCTGGTATTTTACACTTAAAGCCCTTTTTTAAGATCGTTTCTGATGAAATAGAATGGTAAAGATTAAAATTTGGACACATGCTGCTGGCCCGAGAATTTTCGGTTTTGTGGTTGCACCCCCCCCCACCTCCACAATGGTTGCATAGGTGCACTGGAACAATCCTTCCTAAAACGCATTAAACTTTAGTTTACAAAGACGTGAAACTCACCGAGTGGTCTGGGGTGTTCAGTGATATGTTCACACAAAAATCGCTGCAAAAGATGCTTTCCAACAGGTTTTATCGTAGTTTTTGTCCAAGTCAAGTCAATGGAGTTGGACAAAAACTACGATAAAACCTGTTTAACCTAAACTAAAGTTTAATGCGTTTTATGAAGGATTGTTCCAGTGCACCTATGCAACCATTGTGGAGGTGGGGGGGGGGGGGGGGGTGCTACCACAGAAACCGAAAATTCTCGGGACAGCAGCAAGTGTCCAAATTTCAATCTTAACCGTTCTATTTCATCAGAAACGATCTTAAAACAGGGCTTTAAGTGTAAAATACCGAACTTGTCCTTCAACATGAGATTGGCAGAAACTATGTTGTGTAATGTCCCCTTTAATATTTTTGTGTTTACTGTGAAACAATTTTCCCAGGATTCCTTGATGAATAGAACATTCAAAAGGACAGCATTAGTTTGAAATATTGTAAAAGTCTGTACTGTCACAATTTGCAATTTATTGCATCCTTGCTGAATAAAAGTATAAATCTTTCAAAAAAATTTGATCAGTGTATTGCAAGGTAAATTCACCACCCTTACGGCCACTGCTCTTATTAATTGTTAATTTTCACTAGAAAATTCTAGAAGGGAATGCAGTATTTTAAATTATAAAGTTTATATTTTACTTTCAATTCTTCCTCTGAAAAGTCCTGAAAACTCTTCGCTAGGTTAGGGAGAATTCATAATAATTCATATTAATTTGCATTGCCTTTTGCTCAACATCTGTTCATCTCATGCAGGTAGAATAAGAGTTCAAATAAGATACAAAGCTTAGGCTTAGCGTGATTTGTTTGCTTGACAGGACACATAAGGATTTTTTGTCGGCCCTCTCTGCCGCTGTTCATTTATAAGGGATGAAGCGAATAAGAATTAGAAGACAGCCCCAAGTCAGCATATAACGCTAATACTTTCTGTGAGAATCAGCCTTTAAAACGAACAGAGTCCCTTTAAGCCGTGAAAGTGGATCCTTCGCTTCAAGGGCTCAGTGGCTCAGGGCCCTTCTGAGTTATTTCTTCTATAGCTTTAGGCCTTTTATGTCAGTTTGTTCTGTCTTTGTCATCACCTGGGTAAAGCAATGAAAATGGAGGAGCTCCATAGAGTTGGAACAAACAGAGCAGAAGAGGATCTTTGATCACATGATCACAATCTCTGCCTGCTCCCATGGCGCACACAGTCTAATAAAAAAATGTCAATCACTGGGGTACCGTGGAGATTAACATGATAAACCCTGTTCATGAGTGACATACAAACTGCATTTGCTCTTTTGCTTGTGATTTTATGGTTCAGTGCTGGAGTATTAACCAACCTGAGCAAAGGACAAATGGATAGATGCAGAAAGCATGACCAGTTTTATGCTGTCTGCATTTGTCCATTACTGAGACAGGGGATACAATAAAAGTGATATAATATAGAACAACAGCCTGCAGAGAGAGACAGTAGTAATTGTTGCAGGTCATAATCGTGCTCCCTGGATACAGAATACACATAAACACACATTTACACGTTTCAGAATCATACAAAAGGGTTTTCTTTTCATCAGCACGACTTCCTTTTTCCTTCCCACATGGTTAATGAAGGCATTAGGCGCTCAGTTTACACTGTTACTTAGCCCTAGATCAGCCAAAACAACATCAGTAGGCTCTGGTGCTCCAGGAAGAGACATGTGGCTGATTTTATCTCCTGCTGGGTCTTGTCTGTTGGACAGCAGCAGCAAGGACTAAACAATGGGGTGAATCTAACGAAACCTGTCGAAAACTACTTTTTATTTTTGCAGTTTGACATTATTCTTGCAGTTTGTGAATTACAAACATACACACATATGTATATCTAATC